GAGCTTGTCTTTCCTGCACTGAGGGCTTTTGCTTTCTGTCCCAGAGCTCTTTTAATACTTTGAGAGTTGGATCGGAAGCTTGGAAGGCCTGGAGTTCAGCTTTGGTGTAACTGGGAAGAGTTGGCATGTTACTCTGGACCAACTCACTGTCTCCACTACCTGGGTCTAAAACACTCAGCTGCCTTACCTGACAGTGTTCAACCCCTGCTGATACTAACTCGGAGCCTAAAGCAGTGCCTGCTCTAAGACTGTCACAAATAGCTACACAACCATCAAACCCTGCATCCTCTGAATCTGGTTCGGTCTCTGTTAAAGCTGGTTGTCTGGAAAGGGCATCGGCCGCGGAGTTACAGCGACCAGGCCGATACTTGACCTCAAAATCAAACACTGCCAATTGTGCAACCCACCTCTGTAGGGTAGCCCCTAGTTTGGCCGTGGACAGATGACAGAGTGGGTTGTTGTCAGTTAGGACTGTAAACTTTGATCCCAGGAGGTAGCTGCGAAATTTCTCGGTTATGGCCCACTTTAAAGAGAGAAGCTCTAACTTCATGCTACTGTAGTTTTTGTCGTTCCTCTCAGCCCCTCTAAGCCTGCGACTGGCATAAGCTATGACCTTTTTCTTCCCACCCTGAACCTGATACAATACTGCACCTAAACCCAGGTTGCTAGCATCTGTCTCTAGTATAAAGGGTAACTGAAAATCTGCATAGCCTAGAAGGGGTGCACTGGTAAGCTTGGCCTTGAGCACCTCAAATGCCTCAGAACACGCTGGTGTCCAGGCAGACTGGAACAACTGTTTGGCCTTAGATGGACTACTCTCTCTGATACAGGCATTGACAACATCATGGAGTGGCCCTGCAACCTGCGAAAACCCTTCAATAAACCGCCTGTAGTAGCTACAAAACCCGAGAAACTTGCGGAGCTCCTTTACTGAGCTGGGGATGGGCCATGTCTCAACAGCGCTTACTTTCTCAGGATCAGTGCCTACGCCCTGAGCCGAAACCTGATGACCTAAGAATTTGACTTTGGACTGGAGAAAATGACACTTTTCCACTTTCACTTTCAGGCCTGTCTCTTTTAGCTTCTGTAAAACAGTTTCGAGTCTTTCAAGGTGTTCCTCAAAAGTTTTGGAAAACACAAGCAGGTCGTCCAAGTACACAAGAACAATCTGGAAGACAAGGTCACTCATAGTCGCTTGCATTAGGCGTTGAAAAGTTGCAGGCGCATTACATAATCCAAATGGCATACGTAAGTATTCATATAAGCCGAAAGGGGTTGTGAACGCTGTTTTGTGCCTGTCTTTTTCATGGACTGCAACTTGGTGGTAGCCGCTTGCAAGGTCAATGCTCGAGAAGAACTGTGCACCACCTAGCGCATCCAGACTTTCATCAACACGTGGTAACGGAAATGCATCACGTTTGGTTTTCGAGTTTAGCTTCCTGTAGTCTACGCATAGTCTTAGGCTACCATCGGGCTTGCGAACTAAGACTATAGGTGACGCGTATGAGCTTGAACTTTCTTTGATGACACCCTTCCTTAACAGTTCTGAGATGTGATCCCTCACCTCTTTGTACTGATTTGGTGGGATCCTCCTGTATGGCTGGTTAACAGGGGTCTCGTCCAGTAGTGGGATTTCATGTTGGACTCGGTCAGTGTAACCCAGATCTTCATCCTGCACTGCAAAAACATCAGCATACTTAAGTAACAGCACTTTTAGATCAGCTTGCTGTTCACTTGTTCCACCAAAGTGCAGTCTATCAAACAAAGCTTGCATGTCCTTATCTGAGCTATCTTTCCCCTTCTGACTGACACTGACTTCCTCATGTGTAGCTGAGATACGCTGAAACTTAACTTCATAGGGGTCATTTTCGATACACTGACATGGGGTCAAAACACCTAACTTAGCTTTGTTTGGGAGCCACACACTATCTTGGGAGAAGTTAATAACTTGCACTGGAAACATGTGACATTTGGCTGATACCACAGTGGGCACGACAATAATACCACCCGGTAATGGAGCGTTGTTGGGTTCTAGTACTAGAGTGGAGGTGTCGTTAAAATCTCTCTTTGGGCCCCGTACATAAACTGTGGACACTGAAAGTGCAGGCAAGTAACACTTCTCTCTCTGTACTAAGCGAGCCATTGCAGTTTTCTCTACCAGTTCTGCCTCTTGTACTCTCTGAAAAGCCTCTCTCCACTCAGAATCCAATTCTCCTCCAAGTACCGCATCAAACTCTGTTAGTATTAACTCTCTGCACCGTTTTGCAATGTTCATTCCGATAATTCCAGGTGGGGACAGGTCAAGCTCTTTCTTGTCTGTTTTATTGTCATCTCTTATTATCAAAAATCCACATTCAGGTAGAGTTACTCCCATTACTTCAATATCTAGTTCAACATAGCCCAGGTAAGGTAGTGGTAGCTTGTTAGCAGCAGTGATTTTTAACCATTTAGATGTACAGTGCATGTCCTCATCTTCCCCATGGAGATGATTTCTGAAAAAGCTTTCTGTTAAAGTGCTAACATTACTTCCTGAGTCTATGAGGCATTGTAAGGGGACACCACCTACTTGAATATCAACCACAGGACATTTACCAACTGCATTTCTCAAAAAACGTTCTTTGGTCAAGGTCTGTGGTGAGCCTTCAGACTTCCCTCGCATTGCCTGGCTCATAGCAACCGAGGGCCCTCGTTTCCCTGCACTGCTGGGGCAGTTGTGCTTGTTGGGGTTTGGGCTCTACGTGCGGGGCATTGCCTAGCCATATGTCCAACCCCTTCGCACCTCAGACAGATAGGCTGACCATCCTCAGTATATCTAGGGCTTATCCGTGGCTTGTTGTTCACGTTTGGTCCATTTGACTTTGCCTTTTGGGTGTTAAGTTCACGTACTGCATTTGTTAATTCTCCAATAGCCTTACCTTGTTGGGCTATTATTTTGACAACTTCTTGGAGTGTGGAGGCTAAGTCATTTTCTGTGTTACTGCTGGGCTTAACATTACCAGAATATCCATCAAGACTCTCTCCCATTAGGTTTCTGTTTCTCGCCACATTTGAAGTTCTGTTACGATCCTCAAGGCCCCACATGATGGCCTCTTCACGAACATCAAACAAGCTCGATTGTGGTTTCTCTCGGATGAGCCTTCGGAGTTCGCGGCGGAGGGCAGAATCACGCACCCCTTCAATGAACTGGTCTCGTATTGCAAGCTGCGGGTCTGTGACAGCATTAGGAGAAGTTAACAGGGCAGAGTTTAATAACTGGGAGAGTGCATGTGAGTAATCTTTTAAATCTTCACCCTCTGACTGTCTGCGTGCATAGAATGCATGTAACAACTGTGGTGTTGTACGTTTCTCTCTAAATGCTTCACGTAAGTAAGAAAAAACAAATCTTTCGGCTCAACTGCTTTTCCACGTGTACGTAACTTGATTTCATCTAATGCACAACCTCTCAAATGTGACAGAATAAAGTCTACTTGGTCTCTTTCCCTTAGACCCCTAAGACTCATAGCCCGCTCGACCTCATCAATAAACTCATCTACTGAGTGAGCATCTTTACCCGGGTCACCATTAAAAGGTAAAATCTGTTTCTCTCTTGGTATATACACAATGGATCTTGGTTGCATATCACCCAATGAAGCAATACTTGACATTAAAGCATCATGTTTTCGACTCAGTTCATTAAGCTGTGTTTGTAACTCTGGTATTTGGTTACCACTCTCTGACAGAGGTGCAGCTGAGTCACCTCCTGCCACCCCAACTCCAGCATAGCTAGGTCCAGGCACAGAAACACCCGGTGCGTCCTCAGTGTCCGACATCTTGAACTATCTCTTGCCGCAGTTGCAGTTGTAGGTACTTGAGTCCCTGATGCTAATGCACTGGGTTCAAGCGCAGCAGCAGTATCCTCAGCTGGGTGGGACTCCTCTTCACCACTACTGTTGTCTTTAAAAAAAACACTATTGTCTCTTAAAGGGCCAAATCACCAGGAAATCCCACTTCTGACACCAGAAAAGTGTGTCGCCGTGTGTAACTAGGAATAACGGACCAGACACAGGCAGCTCCCAAAAGTAATAATGTGGGTAACTTTTATTTCCCGACTGTCCTCAGAAGAGAGCAGCATTAATTTTGGTTTGATTTGGCTTTTTTTGGAAGATGACTTAAATGGTTAACAACTGTCAGGATTCACAATATCTGGCTTTTTATGTCTTCGTTCCAACAAAATGTGTTCTCTCAACAATAAAATAAAACACTAAATAAAAGACAACAGTAGTGGGCTTATCCTACAATAAACCAAGAATAAACACCACTTAGTATCAATTTAAATGGGCAAGTACACAAAATAAAATTACATTAGTTTTTAACACTGTGTAACGGTCAACTTGAACTCACTCACAAAATGGCTGACAGACTGCCCAGACCAACCCAGCACTCTGAAGGGCGTGGACAGTGCTCTCTCTCCCCCTCTAAATTTACAGAACATATAAACATTTGGTCTCACATAAAAGAATACATAAACAGTCATAAACAGTTCTTTACATTACATATTATTCATATTTAACACTCACGCCTTCATGCAGAACAACTTTTCCCCTACGTGAGCAACTCAGCAGGATCACACTTTTCAGGACAGCAAGTCAATTTACATCAATCTTCAATTCTACGAATCAATACAACAACAATCTTGAGATATGAGGCTCATTAAAGCATTGTCTAACAATATCTAAGATTATTTCCCTGTTTCGCAGTCATTTAAATGTTCATTTTTACTAATACACACCGTTTTATGTCAGTCTCTTGTTGAGGCACTCAGCCTGTTGTGCAGTGATGACATCACACGCGCTTCTTCTAACAACCACCTAATCACCCAGCCTGACCACACTACCCCCTACCGGTTACACAGAGAATTGCAGCCATTTCTAAAAACAGTATTTTATAGTCCACCTGGCTACATTATTATTTTTTTTTTGAGAGAAAAACAGAATATAAACTGCTAAAATATTACAAGAACCATGTGCAAAGTCAAACATCCGGCATCTGTATCACTACTTCACTGTTTTGTAACTTTATTGCTATTTATGTTAAATGGTACAGTCTAAACTTTTCAGAGCATGTTTTTCCATGTGGTTTTTATCAACAAAATGTGTCAAATAAATGTTGCAAAAACAACATAACATACTTACATTTCAACATGACATAAATCTTCATAATGGATTTTGAATAATATTTTTTGTCTCAGTCTCAGGCCATGAGAATTGTCCGAACCGTGGGCCAAGCGTTTGACGTGTGCCACCAGCTCACTGCTCAGCAGAAAGGTGAAGACCAGGAGGAAGAGGAGGTGAAGGGAGAGGAGTCTGCAATGGTACCAGGTAAATACAGACATGTATAAGTTTAATGCCATACTGTGAAACATTCCAGACAAAAAAAAAAACTATGGAGACAAGCAGTTATCTAGTGTTGTTCCTGGCTAAAGTACACTAATAATTTTCTCAGTACATCTCTAAAAAGCAGTGCCACGGTCTCCACTTTTATTTGCAGTTGATATCATCAACATTCCTTGGGGTGTGATTCTAGCTGTAGGCATGCTCTGTCTGAGGCTTTAGTCTGAGCTTTATGTGAACACAATCTGACAAGAAAATCTGAGTTAGTTGGAACAGGTGATCTGATTTTGTACCATTAAACAAGTCCTTTAACATTAGTCACAACCCAGCTACTCTCACTCAGTCACTCTCACCTTTTTGTGGAAAATTAAATACCTAAACAGGACCATGAACAGGCTCTTGAACATGTGTTTAAATCCATTTTGTATTTTCTTCTTTCAGAAACTCTTAAATTTTTTTGGCAGCATTTGCTAATGTGTGCATTGTGTAACCATGGTAACAAGAAAACAATCTGCCATACACATACATGCTGAGGACCCCCAGTGTGATGCCACTGAAAGAATCAATTCCCTTTAGTTTCCTTTCTCTTTCAAACAAACAGTCTACACAAACAAACTGTCTCTAAAGTGCATACCTGTCTAAATAAAGATACCATTATCCACCAAAGACATTTTTAAGATGCTCCAGGCTCCCGGTGATCAAAGACTACCCTTTCCAATTCACTTATTATTATAACATTAATTTCAAAGGGAGAAATGATGAATACTCTGTGTGCAATCCTCACAGCTCAGAAGAAGTTGACTGTGTCCTCAGAGACTGACCTTGAAGCTACGACAGAGGAGAGCATTGAGTGTGCGTCCTCGTCTGAGCCAGAGAAAAGCAGAAAGGAGGAGGCCAACAGTGATGCTGCAAAGGTAAATTTAGATCAATCAGCCTCTGCTTTGTCAGTGTCATAAAACTCCTGTCACTATGAAGTTTTAATAAAGCCTGAGACATGAAAGCTACACCTGCTACATTTAATTAGACAATATGTGTTTGATAAATGCTATAACAGCTGGGCTCTGACAACTTGATATAAACCCAGTTGTTCTTGGTTATTACTTAAATTATAAGGGATGTCTTAAAATAAGGATCTTTTAAAAACATTTTACCATATATATCTAAATTAAGTGGGAGATATATTGATTGCAATGATTGTTTAGCAAAATTGTAATCAGCTTATATTATCTGTAATTAAAACATTTTAAAAAGCTATAAAAAAAAAGAGTAGATTAAAGTACAAATGAGACAAACAGCGTAATCTTTCAAATGGTGTAAAGTGATATTTCCGCATTTTGTGGTTGATTTTACCACGCTGTGTAGTTTTCTAACCCGAACTGTGACATTTGCATGGATACCTTTCACATTTCTGATGGATTTGCATAATATTGTTTGAAATATGGCATTATTTATTTTTGTCATAATCTATATTGCGCATCTTTTTTGGAATCCTGTCAATGTCTTGTAGCTGTTAGATTACAGCACATTAATTACATTTTTAGGATTGTGTCATTTATTTTAAAAAATGCATATCTTTGAGGGTAATTGTGTATTATAAAACAGGTCTCATGCACCTCATTCATCTTCACTGTGTGCTAACAATTAAGCAAAACAACATTGCCCTGGTGTTAAGTGGTTTGAAAAGCTGTATATCTATCTGTTATTATATTATCTGTCTTCAGATAATTAAGACACAACTTGAACCCATGGAAATTGTATAGAAACAGTATGGTCACTGTGCTGCTCATCTGTTAGCTAAAAGTATCATATTGATCAGCTTTTTGGCCTCAGTGACACTAATAGTGTTCTTGAGTTGATGAGTTGACAAAATTAACTTAATAACACCTCTTCAGTGTGGTGGTCAGATCCATCTATCCATCTGTAAGATCAATGCTAACCTTTACACAGTCATCATTACATTTGGGTGTACCCTGAAGCCTGCACAAACATACTGAATTACTAGGTTTGGTGTATGTGGGAGTTGTTTTATTTTTCAGTAATTTGATATTACATTGGTACTAGATATTGTAATTGTTTAGTTCCCAGTTCCCAGTTTAGTTCCCAGTTTCTTGGTCCTTTGTTTAAGAATGACATTGCAACAGATCAACCACAATCAATAATTTATGATACAGATGTAAATAATAAGTGCATCAAATATTATTTGTCTAAATGTTATATATAGATGATTAGAGTGTTTATTCTTCTTGCCATTCCCAAAGCCTTCATAACCTCTGAGGCTATAGACTTTTATTTGAAAAGGACCTAAGGGATCATATAGTTGATGTATTTGTTTTGGCAGGACCCCCCTGTGCTGCTGCACTCGCCCCTCCTCGGGGCCTCGGCTCAGTCTGAGGAGGCGTCCTGTTCGGCCGAGCACCAGCTCCAGCTCCTACAGAAACAACTGCAGCAGCAGCAGGAGCAGCAAGCTCTGGCAGCCAATGCACAGGTACTACACTGTACTACAGCTTCAAAACACAGGCACTAGACTGTACTACAGCTACAAAACACAGGTACTACACTGTACTACAGCTACAAACACAGGTACTACACTGAACTAGAGCTACAAAACACAACTACTACACTGTACTGCAGCTACAAAACACAAGTACTACGATCTACTACAGCTACACAACACTGTGTAGGACCCCACAGAGAGAACAGGACTGAAGAATTGCTGTATAACAATAAAATCTGCATTGATGAATTTATTTGTTCTTCCCCTGTTTATGTTGAACATTAATTGTCTATTAGAATGTTCTGATTTTATCTGAAACCAAGCAATAGTTCAATTAAAATCTAAGTGTCTAAAGTAATGTTGTTTAGGACAAAACAAAAATCTCAGATTTTATTTAGTAAACAGTAGTAAACCTATGGCTGTGGGTTGCCTGTAGGGTGTATATAATGTCTGTTGTGATCTCAGGTACGCGTCTTGCAGCAGCAGCTCTCTGTAGAGGTGTGTGCGCGCTCAGAGGCTCAGGCCAGAGTGCAGCAGCTGCTGCAGCAGAACACTGACCTGTTACAGCACATTTCACTGTTGGTCAAACAGATCCAAGAGTTGGAACTCAAAGCTGTGGGACAGTTATCCTCCAGTGAGTAGCTTTCATCTCAAACTTAGCCTTTTATGTATGTTTTTTGTTTGCTTTGACTTCACAAGTCTATCTTGTTTGGTGCAGAGTCCTTTGCATCTGCCATTATAGTGTTTTCTCCTCTACTTCCTCATATAATTCATTATGCCATGGCAGCCCACTCAGAGTATTCAGCTCTGCTCCCCTCTCTCCCTTTCCTCGTCTGTGCCAAAGGCAAACTGGTGTTATAAATCATCCAATACTGTCGACATTATCCACCTCCATTAATCTGATACATTTTGTTTTCTATTTGTGTGGACAGTATTTTGATTAGTCAGAGCTTGTGAATGATCTTCACAGACCCTGTGAAATGTGAAATTAATTGTCTTTATCAGTTTATATCCCTAAAATAGTATAATCTATATTTAAATCCTTAACATTCATCTCTGAGACCTCCTAAAGTTGAATAGAATAGTATATTTTAGCATAGTTTAGCATACTTAACTCTTTTTTGTTGTTTTTAAACCTAGATTAGGTCAGGTTCCAGCCTTGGATTTCTGAATAATAATGAATACATTTCATTGTTATCACCTGGTTTGGGAATGATTTTATTCCATTAAAAACAGCATCTCAGGCCTTTTAATCTAAGACATTTTTCTCTTGATCTGTTATTTTCAGTGGGCTCCCAGGACAGTCTTCTGGAGATCACCTTCCGGGCTAAGCGCCCACCCTGTGATGCTCTGCCCCCTTCATTATCAGTGGCCCCTCTGGCATCCCAACAGATTAGCGACGCCTGGTCCTCCACTCTACCGGGGCAGTGCTCTCCTGGCACTGTTGCCCCTGACGACAGCTCAGTGGGCTTGAGGGGGAGTGCTGTGAGGCTCGAGTGTTTCCGGTTTCCATCCAGGGGTCCGGACCGGCTGGAGCAGGGACAGGACACCAGAGAGACACCCAGTGAAGAGAGCTCGCCGCTGGGGGAGCAGGTGCTGGGTGCCCTGGAGCTGTTGCGGTTCAGAGAATCGGGGATTGGGTCTGAATATGAGTCAAATACAGACGAGAGTGACGACAGGGACAGCTGGGGGCAGGGAGAGGGTCTGACACCAGATGGAGCACCACGACTTTTTAATGTGCTAAACGCAGAGATTCTGCCAGACTCTTTGGATGACACTGAGATGGCTGTGTAAGGCAGTACCTGGAGGAAACATAAAATACATAAAACATTACTGTATCAACATGTACAGATCGTATGGTTCATCGTGGATCAGTAACACTTCTTTTTTTTTATTTGATGCTTGAAGTTTACTTATAAAATCCAGCCACGTGGAATCATAAGCCAGTGCTTTTTTGTGCCAATCCAAGGGTTATGTAGTTTGTGAAGGTTGCTTCAGAGAGGGCCTCCTTAGTGAAATATTCCAGATATATGCTGAACTTTTGGTTAAAATTTAATTCTGATTACAATCATCTTTTGATTGAATTGATTTGCATAAACAGGATAATAATGGCTAGCTGGGTGCTGATAATTAACTCAAGCTTTGGTGATTAATTAAGTGACTTATACAAGGGGAAAAAGCCTATTTTTAATAAATATTCCTCCATCTTTGTGGTTTAGATGTTTCATTTGAAAATGATTTATTGCTGCTGTCTGCTGTGTGTGGCACTATGTCTCTAATGTTATATGCTCTATGTGGACTCAGCATCAGTGTTATTGTCATAATAACTATCTGTGCAGTCATTATGTAAAAGAGGAGTTTGAAAACTTAAGTAGCCCATATTGAGTTTTGGGTTAAGCATAAGTCATTTCCTTGAATTTTGTACATTGTTGATCTTGCAATGTTTTAACATTGAGCAGCTGTTTTCATCACCGAATGTCTCATAATAAAATCATAATGTTGATTCTCCTCCTGATTTTGATATTTACCTAATTATAGGCATAGTGAGTCTTATAATTTACCTTCACTTTACTGTACAAGGCAGGTAAAACAAAACAGCCTACATCCTAATTTGCCTTTTAAAATACTTTACAGTGACTCACCAGGCAACATCTTGATTACAAATAGCAGACATTTTAGAAGTGACCTTTGAAAATGCGTTTGCAGCATGTGTATTTGTAGCTGCACCAGAATGGCGGACATGTTTTTTTTTTTGTCTCCATTATGACTTTCTTTTACAGCAATGATTAAATGGGGTCAGCGCACAGTGGGCGCGCAGCAGGAACAGCCTGGAGTAACCTCAGAGATAAGGTCAGAAAGACTGAAATCATGTTCAATAGCAGCTATTACACTCACCTAGAGCCCCATCACCTGCAGCTGCACTCTGGGGCTGGACCAATATTATCACATTCTATTAAACAGATATGTTCCCTCTGTTTTCTGTGCTCTTGAGTTTTTTATGCTGAACAGTTTTTAATTTAACAGCATAAAATAACTTTTATAGGGTACTTATAATAGTACTTCTGTACCCTCCTTATGAGTTTTTTGTATTGGTTATGTACTCTCTAGCATCAAACTCTTACTACCTTTTTACCATCAGTTTTTGTTTGTGTCACTGATCTTAATTATATTTTACAGGTTGAAACACTCACTGCTGTTTCTACTTGTTGTGTCCATGAAAACCACATCTGTGCTGTGGATTGGGTGAGTCATCCTCATCATTTTACATGAAGGTTTTGTAGGTTGTATTATAAATTATTAGCAGTCAGGTATTTTCTTTGTGCTAATTAAATTCCTATTCAGTCTGGAAATATACAGTGGTAAACTAAAATGTCTACTCCAATGCAATGTTGTTTGTTTTAGGTTTTCCATGGATAACAGTGGCAGAGTTTGTTCTAATAAGTGGTTACGTCTCATTGTAAAACTAAGCTGTATTTTTGTCAGTAGCTGTCGGCCATGTAGCACTGTCTCTGGGTCGTGTAATTGGAACCATTTGTGGATCAGGTGGAATTCTGGGATTTTGGCCTCACCTCAAAATCTCCAAGCATGTTATTTTCTCTCTTTGAGAAATACTGTTACATCAGCCTTCCTCCTGCTCACTGCCTGTCTTTTCCATTTGCACTGAAGTCCTGCAGAGGGGGAGGTCAGCACTTAGCCTCGATGAAAGCTTCAAATTGAAACAAATGTGGATTAATCCTTCAAAACAGATGGATTCATGACCAAGACATTCTAAATGTAAGTTTAATCCTCTGCCTTTTTGTCTTTTTGTGTATATTTCAGGGAGTTTCAGACAGTGACAGTGACAGTGACCTGCAGACCTTATTGTGTGCTCTTATGGATAATTCTAATTAATCTTTTGACTTGACTTCTTTAAAAATTGTATAGACTTTTTTGACTCTGAGCTTTGTTACTTTGTCATATGGCATTGCATTTTAAAAGAAGAAACAGATTAAAAAAAGAATAGACATATTTAAATGTTCTTTTCACAAAACCTTAACCACTAATAATATATTTTACATGAGTTATTTTATTATATGTGTTTTAACTTTGTATGGAATGGAGACTAAGTCTAATGAATCAAAACACATCTTGATACAAGTACTTCTAGCTCTGTCACAATAACATTTTGCTACACAAAATATCATTATGACAGAAAAAACATTACTTTATGTCTCTGAAACAATAACTCTAAAACTTACTAAATGAACCATGCTTAAAACATATTATAATGAAGACTTTTCTGTCATATTTCGATACAAAGATGACTGTATGCGGTGTGTACATGTCAAAAGTTACATGGCACTTACGAGGGACATAAATTGCTCATATACTGCAGCCACTGTTGACTGGCCCAGCTTTCACTCGAAGCACAACAAGGACTCTGTGTAGACATACCTGGGGTCGATGGGTTGCTCAGCCCCCAGCCAACTGTAACACACAACTTCATGCAACTTATTTATTGTAACTTATAATATTTTTCCTTTCTGATCTGAAACTTTTAGGAGCAAGAATAGAAACTTCATGGAGATGCAGAGGATATATCAAGCCATTTTCACCAGCCTAGTGATGTCTGCTTGTGTTGAATCCCAGGTAAACCCTGGTAAGTGTTTCTTTATATATATAAAAAAAATCTTATATTTTTATTATTACTGTCTATTTCTTGAGGCTACCAATCTTCCTTTCTAATTGCTTGCTTGGCTTGCTCAAGGCTTTGTTGGGACATACACATATATCACTCCCGATCTACTCTCGATCTACTCCCAAGCTACATTTGTATGTAGAAAGTCACCACAGCTTGATTCTGACACGCCAATGCTTGGGATAATTTATTACAACAAATATTAGTATATTTTAAATTCATGTCAGTTATTAGAAACAAAAGTATATACGAGGTAGTTAATGCAGCTATTTAAGTTCAAAGACTTGCAAAACACATATGTATGAGATCATTTATTTCTTGTGACAAATCAAATATCTATAACTTAAAGTGTCATCAAATCTTCCTTGAACTATAAATTAGATTTACATTATATGTCTCAGCATGTGGGTGAAGCTGTTTTCAGTGGGTGGGCTCTATGTGTATGTGTGTGTGTGTGAGCATGTGGTTTATAGCCAGGCAGTAAATATACAAAGAACAGGAAAACCATTCACGAGCTGCAGGTATTTAGGGGGAAAAGTTAGAAAATGTGTGCTCATAGATACAGATATGACACTTGCTCTCTCCCTCCAATAGCGATGCACACTTTCACTATTTAGAGACTCTAGAGCAGGAGTTATGTGGCAATACATGTGGAGACAGTTTGAATAAAATATTTCTATAGCAGATATTGTAAGCTTTCAAAGTTCTAATTACTACTGCTACTTCAAATTACTGCTACATTAGTGTGTTTAAGTAGGATAATCCTTCTAAACCATTGACTTATATTTCTAAGTTCAATATTTGTAAATTATTTTACCAACTTATTTATTGTTTTGGAGTCACTACAGCTCAGAACATATTAAAGAAATCCTCATCCAAAGATGAGGAACACATAATAAACGTTGATATATTAAATCAATATATTGAAATATTGCATTTTGCAAATACTTGGAGATAAATGGATACTTGTGTTAAAGCTCCTCACGTGCCTTTGGTTAACTAATTTTAAAAGCAATGTAATTTGAAAAGCAGCTTCTATGAGACCACTCCCCTCTGGTTCTGCTATGACTGGCACCTACACAGTGATGCCTCTGTTCAGCTGTGGAGGCCTCACAAAACTAACTACAGGAAGGAACTTGGGGCTGGAGAAGGGAGAGCACTGAACTACCTGTGATTGAAATGTGTACATTTAGACAGGGGTATAAAATGTGTATTAAATGTTTTTTTGTATTTTAGAAGTCTGCCGTTACCCCCTTGGTATGACTGGCGGACAGATCCAAGATGAAGACATCTCTGCGTCAAGTCAGTGGTCTGAGTCAACAGCTGCAAGGTTTGGAAGGTGTGTCTACAGATGTGGATAAGACTGAAAATATTTAACTGACAATATATAAGAAATACATTATTAACCAGCAGACTCTTTGGGGTTTTCGGGAATATAAATAAATGTTTGATGAGAGGGTATCCTCTGTAAAATGTACTGATTGCTTATGTACAAATAGAAATAGTAACCAGGACACCAGATCAGGGACATAACTGGCATTAGATAATGTCATTAAAATGGTAATTAAACCAAGATTAATGATATTATAATTATATATAATCCAAATGTAAGACCTGGTCCTGGTCTGATATTTTGTCTCCATGGTCTGGTTCTGTTCAAGTACTGGCTTGGTACTGTTCTATACCAGGTTTACTTTGATATAGTATGTGCAGGTATGAACACAGCATATATTTATCCTGGTTTTAGCTCTTCTATCAGTGGTCTTTTCACTACATCTCTATTATATATTGCCGTGCTTTAAATCCTTTTACAGATTGGACTTGGACAATGGTGATGGGGACGGTGCCTGGTGCCCTGACATCATGTCTGAACCGGACGGGCTAAAACATTACCTCCAAGTGGACCTCCGCTCACTCCACTTCATCACTCTAGTGGGCACCCAAGGGCGACATGCGGATGGGATGGGTAATGAGTTTGCCCAAACATATCGGATTAGCTACAGTCGCGATGGGACCAGCTGGGTGAGCTGGCATGACAGGAAGGGAAAACAAGTGAGCAGTTACAATTGTTTCACTGATACAAAGGGTTTAAAGGTGCAGTATATTTTGTTTCTCATAGGAAATCCCATAAGAAGGACTCATTGGAAATGCTGAATTGCTTGGAATGTTTCACAATATGTCATTTGACTAATTTGTTTATTTCATTAGGTGTGGTTTTATTGTTCAAAATTACCTTGAAAAACTGTCGGTGGGACCACCTTTTCACTGATCTGACCTATAACTTGTCTCTGTGGTGCCACTTACTTGTCTAGATACATTGAATGCCATACTGTGGAACAGTCCATGCACAGTAATAACACCTCCATAGGCAATCAGGTGACAGATCCTCCAGCATAAATGTTACACAATGCACCTTTAAAACGGAAACTAAAAACAACTAAAAATCTGTCTGAGGTTGGATTTCGCTCCTGATACTTGAACTGTAAATCCCAAATAACTGTCTTGTGTTGCCAGGTGATTGAGGGGAATAAGAATGCGTATGATGTGGTGCTCAAGGATCTAGAGCCACCCATAATTGCCCGTTATGTGCGCTTCATGCCTGTGACTGACCCCTCCATGATCGTGTGCATGAGGGTGGAGCTCTATGGATGTGAATGGCTCGGTCAGTGCTTCTTTTTTAAGCCTTTAATAATAATGATGATGATGATGCATGATGTGATTACCCATTCAGTGACCACTGACCAGTCTCATTCTACAGATAGACATTCATAGTTTAAAATCTATGTGTAATGTATATTGAGTGCAAAATAAGTAGTTATAAGTAAGTAATATTTAGTAAAGCCAGAGAGGGCAGATATTACTTGAAAAATAAAAGAACATGGATTGTAGGTCACAACAAGCAGCTCATACAACATAAAACCCGCATGTACTTGTAATGTGCTATTTGAATAGTAATTTTTTTTTTTTTTTTAACAATATTGCTTTATTTTATACTTTAAGCTCTTCACTGTTTTGTTTACATTAGATGGCCTGATATCATACAGCCTTCCAGATGGACAGCAGATGTTTTATAGAGGCATGGACGTCTACTTTAACGACTCTGTGTATGACGGAGCAGCAGCAGAAAGGTCTCCCATTACCTGCTTTGAACCATGATAATGACATAAAACCACCTGGAATTTAATTATTTCTGACCCATTTTCTGATGCAGGATGACGAAGGGCCTTGGCCAGCTCACAGATGGGACATGGGGTTTGGATGATTTCCTCCACAGTCACATTTATGGCATGTGGCCAGGCTATGACTACGTGGGTTGGAACAACAAGAGCTTCCCCAAAGGCTACATCGAGATGATCTTTGACTTTGACCATATTCGAAACTTTACCTCGATCAAGGTAAAAATATATGAAAACGTGAATTTTTTGAGACACAAGTGATCTTAGTCCATCCTGATTAAGCCATATAAACTAGGTTCAGCTGGATTTGAACTGCATATCTTCTGATTCGTATTATTATTCATTGAATATTGATGCATATATCTGTCCCTGTACCTCTCTTTCTCAGGTGCACTGCAATAACATGTACACTCGGGGGGTGCGTATGTTTAGACAGGCCACCTGTTTCTTCCGCTCGGGGTCGGAGTGGGAATCAGACCCGGTGTCCTTCAGACCGGCAGTGGACCAGGCCAGTCAAAGGGCCCGCTTCGTCTCGGTGCCTCTGGGAGACCGCACTGCCAGCACCATCAAGTGCCGATTCCACTTTGCAGACCTCTGGATGCTGTTCAGTGAAGTGGCTTTCCAATCAGGTAGGCCCAACTGAAGAAATTATCAAAATGAATCAAGAAAAAGCTGTTTCCCAGGACATCATAACATTATTTATAGGTTAGACGGATTTAAGTATTATGGTGTAAGGTACAAAGGTACATATTTGTAATCTGCTGAATTTGTGTAGTGTCTAATTATTATGTACAATATACACAAATGAAAAAGTAGCATTTGTGAATCTCAGACAGGGGCATATTTCAAAATCAACTATTAGGATATGTGACTTCCTCTTTTATCTTGGCTTTGTTTCAACTGTAGGATCCGCTGTGTACAATACATCTATGTCAGCTCGCAAACAAGGACATCCTACCAACCTACCAGGTAGTTGCTATATTACTACTCCTATTATAAGCTTTCTATAAATTATATTAAATGTTTTTTTAAACAATGTTAAATGTTAAAAATGTTCAAAAACATAATATAATTTTGCCTATAAAGAACATTTTACAATACATAATAATTATAAGACATGGTCTTGCATCTTTAGTGACTGTGTAGCGTTTATAATTGAACAGTGCCCTCTTCTGGTTGTCTGTGAAATAGAGATTTTAAAAATTATAAGGCTCTTTCTAAAGAATATGGTATTTTAGTTTTCTGAATGAATAATGCATATTTACATAATTATGAACCATTCCACTTAAACTACTGGGAGTATTCTGTATGTTTACAGGGGATGATCCCACACATAAAGTGGATGATAGCAACACTCGAATCCTGATTGGATGTTTGGTTGCAATCATTGCTATCCTGATGACCATTATTGTCATTATACTTTGGCGTCAGGTGTGGCAAAAGATGCTTGAGAAGGTGAAATATAAATAAACATCCAAACGATCATATAAGTAATCATACGTCCTATATTCAGTGCACATCTCAAAAAAAATCTTCCTTTCTTTAGGCCTCTCGTAGATTGCTGGATGATGAACTGACCGCTCGTCTGGCTTTCCAAACACAGAGCTTCTCTTTTCATCACTCATCTCTGTCCAGTGAGAGTGGCTCCACCTTCAACTCCACCTATGAGAGGATTTTTCCCCTCTGTGCTGACTACCAGGAACCTTCACGATTTGTCCGAAAACTCACAGAATTTGCAGATTCCATAGAAAACCTGGATGATGAGACAACAGGTACTGTCTTCAATACAGAAAATACATGCAAAAACAATGTTCAATATTATCAGAACAATATTGGAAATAATATGACATGACAAACAAACATAATTCACACTTAAATAATTCAAAAAAATTCAAACAACTAAAACACTGCAAAAATAAGGAGATTAAAAGTCTGTACTTTTACATTTATTGTAATTTTATCTATATCAAGAAGCAGGAGAGAAATGGATTGCATTACCATTCTTATGATATAGATAGTCATTATATGACTTATTATTATACTGATATTATTCATTTGCTGCATTATAATTAATAAGCATTTTGACTTCAGGGTCAAGCTCTTGTAACAAAGCGCTAGCAGCAGCTGGTCCGGGCCCGCCCCACTATGCAGAGGCGGACATCATCAGTCTCCAGGAGAGCTCAGACAAGTGCTCCATCACAACTGTCAACCTGTTCACTGCCACAGACTCATCTATGAGAGAGTTCCCCCGACACAAGCTCACATTCAAAGAAAAGCTTGGAGAGGGACAGTTTGGAGAGGTACAATTACATTTGATGAATAAAATCTGAATAATTAGTTGTTCAGTAGTTTTATTCTTTTATTATTTTTTCATAAGCAAAATGAAAAATAATCATGTTGTTTTATCATGTGAACAGATTTTATTAGCTCAAAGAAACAAAAAATTTCAAGCGCTGTCAAGTGTATAATGGATTTTTAACACAGGTGCACTTGTGTGAAGCTGAGGGCATGCAGGACTTTCTAGATGCTGACTTGCCTATGGAGGAAAATACAGAATCTCCCTTACTTGTTGCTGTTAAAACACTACGAGAAGATGCCAATAAAAATGCAAGGTCAGCATTTTATTTTATTGTTTATTTAGGGAAGTGCCTGGTGTCTCTAGCTCTGTAAATAATGATGTTTTGTGCAACAGGAATGATTTTTTGAAAGAAATACGCATCATGTCACGTCTTAGAGACCCAAACATAGTGCGTCTACTGGCTGTATGTGTGGACACTGACCCTCTCTGCATGATCACTGAGTACATGGAGAATGGAGACCTCAACCAGTTTCTTCACAGGCTCTCTCTCAGTGATGACAAAAAGGCAGGACATGAGGAGGAGGGAAAGACTACCGTTAGGTAGCCTTACTCATCGTACTGTTTTATTGTGTTTTGACTCACATGATGACTTCTTTCATTTCCTTTTAGCTACAACAAACTCATGGACATGGCAGTACAGATAGCTTCTGGGATGAAGTACTTGTCCTCATTAAACTTTGTTCACCGCGACTTGGCCACACGAAACTGCCTGGTTGGTAAAAACTATACAATTAAAATAGCAGATTTTGGTATGAGTCGCAACCTGTATCGTGGAGATTACTATAGGATCCAGGGGAGAGCTGTCCTGCCTATTCGCTGGATGTCATGGGAGAGCATCCTTCTGGTGAGTGACAGCATTGTTTTATGAGTTGTTGAGTTAATGAGTTATTTAGGTATTTATGTCTTTTCTTCATTCATCATGTTGAAGTTTGTCTTTTTCCTCTGTAGGGAAAGTTCACCATGGCCAGTGATATGTGGGCTTTTGGAGTAACTCTTTGGGAAATTTTGACTTTGTGCAAGGAGCAGCCATACTCACATCTTTCTGATGAGCAAGTCATCGAAAATACAGGAGAGTTTTTCAGAGACAAAGGGAAACAGGTCAGCATGCTGCTGTTATTGCTGCTTGTTATTTTATCCACTGTGTGCTGTGATTATGACGACTCTTGAAAATTTTTATCTTTACAGGTTTACCTCCCAAGACCCGAGTGTTGTCCTGAAACTGTCTACAATGAACTCATGTTGAGCTGCTGGAGAAGGAACGCTAAACAGAGGCCAAGCTTTCAAGAGATACACCTGTGTCTGATGGAGAGCTTAGTATAGCAATAGAGCATTTCTTATGTAAATAAAACAATGCATTGTAATATTAAGCCTTCAAACAATATATATTTATTGTTTATATTGTATTATTTGTAGGATTATTTATAGTTTGCACAACCAGTTTTTGAAGCTCTTTTGTAAATATGTGTAATGTGTAAAATATTTATCCTCGTGCAGGTTATTCATAGTACTGCACATTGAACATTGCATGTAAATAACTTAAGTAAAATAATGAATAAAAGTATTGCTTGACTTTATAATTATTATTTTTTATTTTTTCTGTCAATTTTCTGCTGGTGGCTGTAGTCAAACATGATTGGCTAGCGGTTGCATGACGCGCGTGTTACGTTCGGTCACGCCACGCCTGCTAAAATGGAGCTGCTCCCTCAAAGCAATCGAACGATGGGATAGTACAACCTTTGACATAGTTTTACAGTTCGCCTCCTGTGTGTTATTTAGTCACGATCAGGATGGAGCGGGTTGTGATTGTCACCGGTGCAAACAGGCAAGTATTTATTTATTCTTTTTTTTTTTTTTTTTTTTTTTACAACGCAATAGAGTCCTATCTTCTGCTAATAAGCAGGTAATTAACCGTGCAGTTGTTCTC